GGTTGGAGGCTAGGGTGGAGGCCATCACTAGTAGGGTGGAGGCCATCGCTAGTAGGGTGGAGGCCATCGCTAGTAGGGTGGAGGCCATCACTAGTAGGGTGGAGGCCATCACTAGTAGGGTGGAGGCCATCACTAGTAGGGTGGAGGCCATCACTAGTAGGGTGGAGGCCATCGCTAGTAGGTTGGAGGCCATCGCTAGTAGGTTGGATTCTTTGTGCCATCAAGTGCGTTGGCTTCAGAGGCTCCATTCTACTTCGATCCAAGAGGAAGACTGCTCAGGACCTTCTTCAGGAAAACCACCTCGATGGTCCAAGCGAACAATAACTGGTGCCTCTGGGTGTTTGATCGTTGTTTGTCTATATAATCGACAATTGTTTAGTTGGTTGATCAACGTTGAAACATCATGGATTTGCCAGGTCAAAGCCATGCTCCATGATGGCAATGCCAGAAGAAGCCTAAATGTGTGCTACTCTTGCACTGACCACCTTAAAACGTTCGGTCGAAGACCAATCAAGCACACACGTCTTCCTAGGATCTCTTGTTTGCCATTAGACTTGCATGTCATGGTTAGTGAGTATTAAAACAACTGAGTTCACAAGCAGGAAACATTCGGACGATGAAGAGTGCACTGGAAACAACTCGTGAGACGATCCATGAGACGATGGAAGATCCATGAGACGACACGAACGACACGTCCAGGACACGTGAGGGTCCCAGAGTGTCCTGATCGTCTGAGTCACTTCAAATTGTTCATCTATATATCTACACAGCAGAACTCGAAGATTGCATCCGAAAACGCGCAGAGATTTCTCGAATGACCAAGGTCCAAGCAAACACTTGACATGTGCGAACTCGACGATCGCATGTCCACAGCCACGTGCGCAAAATGAATTTCCGTCTTGAGCCAGGGCTGCCTGATCAAGACATTGAAGATCCCAAAGGGAAGTTCAAGGGCATATCTAGAGAGCCTCCAAAGCAACACCAGCTGAAGCAAAGTGTGCCACAAGTGCAAAACCTGTTGCTTATGATGTGCAGGGGGGAAAACACAACAGGCTACTGTGTTTAGTCTAAAAAATCGGCCGAATGTAGATGAGGTCACTGGGCGTACTTGGTCTGTACTTGGTGGGCGAACGCCGTCTTCATCTCGCCGTACACGAACACATCCAGGCTGGTCGACGTATTGCGACACTCCCCAGATCTCGCGGACTGAACACTTCCCGTGGATCCGAAGACGCTCTTATCGAAGTTTCTATCGCCTTACGCTCATGTTCTGAGACTGGGCGAACTGCATATGTCTCCAAAGCTGAGCACCAATGACTTTGGCCCCTTTCGACCTGTCTGTGCTTTGAGACGTTTGGAGATGTTTCAATGTAGGTGGGTCACTTAAAATACCTTCTCGGCATGAGTGGCAACCGAGATGCCTTTGGCTGCCTGACAAGAATGATCACAAGTCGGTTGGTTCGCTTCAAACCCCTTACTCTCGTGTCATTACAATGGCTTTGGCACACTGCAAGTGGTTTAGAAGTTTGCCAGGGCGTGTGACAACAGCACGGCTCCTCTCTGTTCAACGGGCGTCTCCACGACGCATTCGACTCTTTGGTTGACAATGCTTTAGCGCCATGCGCTTCAGGCAAATCTGAGCACCGATGACTTTGCCAATTCCGTCATGCGCCATGCGCCAAAAGCCAGCTGTGGAAAATATGGCAGTCCTTCTAAGGAAACTTGAGACGTTGAATAACACCTTTCTTGGTCCCAAAACCAACGCCGTCGAAGCTGATCTTTTGAGTGCCGAGGTCGCTGATCCTTTTTTCGAGTCGAATGGAATGGAGACCTCCCAGGCGGAAACGCCCTGGCGGGAGTCTCGTGAGTCGAACCCTCTAAGCCCTTGTTACTAGTAGCTTCTATACAAACGCTCAGTCTTACTGCTTGTACCATTTCTTGGAGCATCAGAGGGGAGAAAAACAGCTTCTTTGTCATATAGCATATAGTAACCATACCACTTGGGATTTTGCGCAAAGAGTCTTGAAAACGGTATATTATTGTTATTTGGGTACACCATGTTATCCTAAATGATACATATTATGAAACATAAACTGTAAACATAATATGTGAATACAAATTGCTGTATACGGTAACTATATGATATATGTATATCTAACATCTTTCCACTGCCAGCCTCCTCTATAAAAACATGCGCGCCCCCTCACCAGCATCGGACACTAGCGAAGCTTCGCTGCCGGCCCAAGGGCTCGGCGGTCCGGACACCGCGCACCGTTGGCGCCAAACTTGAAGAGCAGCTGCATCATTCTCCTTAGTCGCCACACTGCCACCCAACCCATGAGACTCTTAAATAGATCCTGCACATGTTCCACCCCAGGGCAACCACCGACAACCATGTTTGACTTTTGCCAACATCCATTTACGGTGGAAATCCTGGACTTCATTGACCATGCTGGACACCAGGTGCCCAGCCGGCTAAAGCTCCAAGGGTCAAGTTGCTTTCCTGCATGGCCACTGTCATTGGATAGGAGCGTTCAAGCCCAAACCAGGAGACCTTCACATCATTCACCTCAGCCGGAGCCCATGTGTCAGGCCGAAACTTGGTGGCACAGGTGTCACCCCTCGCTGCTTCCCAGATGGCAAGTAAACCACGAGGCGATCGTGAGCAAGATGTGGTCTTCGAATACCACTAAAAACAACCTAGACCTAGAGTTGTGTTGATTCCTTGCCTTGATGTTGGACTGCAACCAACAAAAGAAGTTAGGATTCTCACGGCAACCAACCCTCACAATCAGTCGACAAAATCTGCCAAAGGACGTCACGGAACTGATGCAAGTCAAGAAATTCCTTGACCGCCTTCCATTCAAGTTCCTTGGATCGGCAACTCTTGGATCCTTTGAAGCTCCCGTGCCAGGACAAATATCTCGATTGCTGCAAAGTAAAGATAGTCAAAGTATGTGTGATGGCAGTGACCAGCAAATGTCCATTGAGCGGAAGGGCCAGCTGGGCGTGACTAGCTGTGACCGAAACTTGGCAAAGTGCCAACGAAAGACAGAAACTCTAGGGGAGGTCGATGCCAGGGTGGATCAAGTTCTTCCAGTTGCATCTGTTCGTGGGCTAGCAGGTTGGAGGCCATCGCTTTTGAGTGGAGGCCATGGTTCCTAGGAGATTTGGAAGCTCATCTGCACCCGAATTACTCCACCAACGAATCGCGCGAGCCATGCCCGATAGGTGCCGAACAGCGAGGCATGCCGCTGGCTAGCGGTATGGGCTAGCGCCCAAACAGTACGTATGAAACTCACCTATGAAGGGTAGACAAAGACACGTGGCGGTCATCTGGTCACATGACAGGTGTAAAAATAGCCGCTTGGCTGTCCATAGGTCCTTGGCTGAGGTTTTAATCTTTAGTGGTTTAGGAAATATAAGAAATCCCCTCTACATCAAAAGGTCTAAGGGTCTAAGATGCCCAACATTCCTGCGCATGAGTACTCCAATTCACCCACAGCAGCTGCAGAACTAACATAATTACTACTCTTTCGGCACCATGTCACAGTCACCACAAAAAGCATGCCCCTTCCATTTCCATGCGCTTTTCACAAAAAAGAACTGTCACCCCATAAATCCTCCCCCACAAAAAACAAACAAACGCCCTCTCTCCAGGAACGTCCGTCTCTCCAATAAAACTGTTCACCGGTTTGTCGAAAAAACCAGCCCCAACTTCAGCCCAAGCACCTTACGTCTCTCCTCCTTGAGTGCCTTCGTTTGCACCTTGACCGCCGACCGCTGCTGCGTGGCGCGGATCCTTGCCAACGACTGAAGCAGTTTTCCACTGACACACATTTGAAGGGCTCCAGGCGACGCCACGTTTTTGCGGGTAACATGTCTGCTATTCACCTGCTTTAAGGCATCCACCACCTACTTTGGCAAGCGGGAACCGCAACTCGTTGGGGAGTCTTTCCTTTCCTGGCTGGTGGTATCTCACATGTGTTTTTGCAGCCGCTTCGTGAGTTGAGCAATTTTAGTGACAATAAACATGCATGTTTAAATTATGATGGGTAGGAACCGCCAAGGTCACCACACACTTTCAGTTTGGCAGGTTGTTTGTTGTGAAGATGGATAATTTCATTCAAGGTTTGCCCGGTAAACAAGTTTATTACAGGATGTTGTTGGTCATACCAAAATGAGACCTGTAACAACCATTGCAAGCGACCGGTGTTTTTGTAGAACATTGAGTCCATTGTGTCCTATAGTTTCTCTCAATCATCGCCCTTATGTTCACCGCTGTAAGTCTGTAAGCTCTTGAACCCCCAAACATACACACACTTGTCAACTATATACTGCTTTAGTTTACCTTTTGCATCACTCCAAAAACTTCAAATTGCTCCCTGCGTGACAATGTTGAGCACAAGGGGTACCTGCAGGAGAGATTGGAATTTCTATTGATTTCTTTGCAGGGCCGCATGGACTAAGCTACATGTGTATATATATATATAACATATATACACACATACACATCAGAGAGGTGCAGCTGGTCCAAGTCCCTCCCTAAGGTTTGTTGGTGTTGTGGAATGGCAAAGGGCGTCATGATTTACAGGCCCACATTGATCACAAAACATCTATACTATGTAGTGACCACTAGAGGGCTTGAGAAACATATATGACTTGAACCTCTTTTCCCGTCTCCGTCATTCCCCAAAGCGTCAAGGATGAAATCGTTGACCCGATCCCTTTTCCGACCGTTGGAAAGAGGAGTCCTTCCAGAAAAGAATCCTATTGCTGTGTTGGGTGTCCCATCTTCACAATGGACATTCTACGAGAACTCCTTTTAATGGCCTCCAACCTAGTAGCGATGACCTCCAACCTACTACGAATGGCCTTCAACCTATTAGCGATTGCCTCCGCCCTACTAGTGATGGCCTAACCTAGAAGCGATGTCCTCCAATTATCTGCCTGAGGAAGATGTTTCGGCCTTCTTAAACCAGCTTTTAGCCCCAGGAACTGTTCAGGGGTGGCTGGCTTGATTACTGGCGCGATCTCTCCAGGCTCCATGAGCTTGTACCGACCACCGACCTGCGGCGGTTTTTCTTCGCTCTTCGATGGCTGAAGAGCTTTACCGATCTGGCCGGAAAGAACATCAGCTGCCCATAGCTTGAGCAAACACATAGGATGCCTCGGCAGTGCACCTCGTTTCTGGAAGGATTTCTTCCACGAATGGAAACAACAAAGGAACAACCATCCAACTCCAGTAGATCATCCTTTGCTTGCAAGAGAGAACCCCAAACCTGGTGCCGCCCGAAACATGTGCGGACTGCGACTAGCGACCACGACCTACCACACTCACCTGACCCTGCCCAAAAGGGCCCACAAATGTGACAGCTTCAGTTGCTTTGCAAACTGGTCATGCCTCTTTAGGTTCGAGGCCATTGCTACTATGTTGGAGGCCATTGCTTCACATTCACGGTTGGAGGCCATTGCTTCCGGATTTGAAAAGCACAGTGTGCGACCAACAGCATCGCATCTTGCCTACTTGCGACCGGGCCGTGCGACCGGGCCGTTCCCCCTTTTGCTTTGGGGAGTGACCATCATTCTGCTGGGCGGGCCACCCAAAGAACCCCCTAATAAAACCACCCACATTAAACAACAAAAACCCATTAAACAAAAATAACACCAGGGTTTCCAGTTCCCATCCACGTTCGGCACGTTCAACACGGCACGAATCGGTGCCCGCACCAAATCCGCCGCCTGTTCAAAGCAGAACTGGCGAGCCATGTTTGCCGACTTGAGACCAGCCGAACTTGAACAGCTGCGAAAGGCTGCGGGAGAAAACGCAGTGTGGCGACTCTCTGAGGATTGTGTGGCGACTTTCAATGGTTGGCCCTTTGCGTCTAGGACCCAGAACGTCAAACATCCAGCTTGTGTGTGTGTGCAGCAGTTGCAGGGTTGCATGCAAACACATTGCCCCTGAATAAATCGCAATTGCAAGCCCAATGAAACATGTGATTCACCTTACCAGCTTCTTTTTCCCACCAGCTTCAGGTTGTGAACCATTGAGACATTGGGCCCAAGCCTCTTCACCGCTATTTTTGGCATCAATGTGTGTAACAGCTGAAACCTGCAACATCGACATCCCAGCCTTCTCACCTCAGCTCGTCGACCAACCCATTGACTCCAATCGTTTCTGAAGTGCCTCCCGAAATGACCTGGACGAGCACGAACGCAGCGAGCAGGTGGGAGCAGGTGGGTGGAGGGTGAGGTCAGCGATCACCGATTTGACACGTGGAGTGGATGTGCAATCCGCAACAGGAGCCGAGTGGCACCATGCTCATGCCCATTCTCTCTCTCCCTCTCTCTCTCTCTCTCTTTTGGACCGGTTTGGGGCACCCAAAATTCTAGGAACCCGTGCGTCGCTACTAGTAACAAGAAGCTACTAGTAACAAGTGCGAGAACCCCGGAAAAGCGACGCGGAGAGCTGCCCCCCTATGCGACGTGAGTGGAGATGGTCGTGACAAGTCGCTGGTGCAAAACGTTGTTGCGATGGTCTGATTGGAATGTGGAGATATTTCAATTTAGATCTCCCATACAACATATCCAGCACTAACACAAGAGGTACCACTGGATGGGCGACAAAACCGCCTTTACCATGGTTTTAGGGCACAGCAGAACACCAAAGGAACACCAATCCTGACAATCTCATTGAGGTGGATGACATGGTGTAAATCACAGGATGTTCTCCAAGTTCAAGATCAACACCATCTGTTTTCGAGGTGTCCTCGTCTGCACTGAGATCATCAAATATTCTATACTCCATTTGGCCGTTGGCAATCTCTTCTCCATCGATGAAACCATTCGGCGCCCAAAAAAACCGGACCTCTGACTGTATACACTGTAGGCACTCATCATAGATGGCCTCCCAGGCCTCCTCTGGCTGTCGGTCCCGCCGATGATTCCCAACACCATCGGTGATCACCATCGGTGTGGCATTGCTCTTTTGGCACGGCCGCTGACGGCACGAACAGTGGCGCTAAGGCATGGCTTGGCAAAGCAAGGTGTTGCCCAAAATCACATCAACAAGCCGACTCCCATCCCAGTCTGCAAATGCAAGGCTGCGTTCGGTGTGACTCCCGCCCCGGAAGACGCTAAAGAACACATGGATTTCTGGATTCGACGGGAAGAAGGAGTCGTGTCGTGAACCGCCGATGAACTTCTGTTCCATCAAGTCTTACACGAAATGACGAACACATCACATGGTATCACATGGTTACGTGGATGGCATGGCCCCTGTGAAGACTATTTGTATCTACAAACATGTGGTTTTTCCATAGTGAGTCGGAATGTGAACAATCTAAACACATTGCTTTGATCTCTAGACATCTCTAGACCCTACGTATGGCCCATTCTGTTGCTTTTACGGCTTTCCGCGGCATCGTCTGCCCAAAATGTCATGCTGTCAATGCGCGGCCTTCAGATCCTCAGCCGCGGATGGGACCGGCTGCAGGCCAGAGCCTCAAGCGCGATTCTTTTGGAAAGAAGTTGAGGAAGAATGGGCAGCACATAAGGCTTAGCTACTCACAAAGCATGAATCAGGTCACCGACTCGTATTGGGCCTACTTGTTAGGCAAGACCAAGGGCCACCATCGAGATCCATTGAGTGATCCAAACTAACGACCTAACGATCGAAAAAACAGCGGAATATCTGTGAACATCGATGTTTCGTTCATGGCAGTATGGAATTCTTTGTTCGATTGGCCCAGTCAACAGGACTCAAGAAATGCAAAGGATCTACGGATTGTGGGAGCACCTGACTGATCATCTGACTGTTGGGCAGCACCTTGGAGTTCCAGCAAACCCTGGCATTTCACTATCCGTATTCCCCCACACAGCGGATCCGCTGCCCGGAATGACGCCCTTTGAGCCCAGGTGCCCTGGACCTGCAAAACCTGGGGACCTCTAACACAAAAAACTCTTAAGCCTCTTCATTGCTCTCATGCTTCTTGGGACTCTTGACTAGTGCGAGAAAAAAGAAAACATGGAATGGAATGGATGAAAATTCAAGAGTGAGCAGACTATATACCTTGAGTCTTCAAAGACCCTTTTTTAGATGCGTTTTTGAGTTTGGTCTAAAATTTTTGTGTTTTTGCTCGAAAAACGTGTTTTCAGAGATGAGGACTCAATAAAAGGTACAGAGTGAATCTTCATCCGGACGCGTCCGGTGCGGACGCTTAAAGACGCCTTTTGGACGCAAAAGGACACGTTTGGGACGCCAAATTAATGGTCTCGGGACACTAAGGAGGATCTGACAGGGCACAAACAAAAAATAAACATTTCGTGAAATATGCCAACACATGTTTTCTTTCAGAACCATTTTTTTTGGAAAGGCACATTTTAAAGGGCCATTGGAGACTCAATTTAGAGTTTCCTGGAGATGTGCATCCTATGCATAAAACGTTTCCGGTTCGCTTTTGACCGATAGCTGCAGGGTTGAAGAATGAGAGTGGCTTGTGTTTTGGTTCGATTCGACAATAACCGAACCGGTGTTCAGGCCCAAAATTGGCCCAAAAGGGTCCGCAATCCATACTCCCTTGTCACATCTCTGCATTTCCGTCGAGAAATAACCCAACACATCGCAACTGACCTCTGCCGCTGCCTGTCATTAATCTTTTTGACCAAACCCAACAGCCACGAAACCAAGCCCGACGCAACCCGCGGAACCGCGGAACAACCCGTTTCCCACGCTCCGCTCCGCCGTCGCCGAGGAGCGCGTTGCAAGCGACGCGTTGGCCGCCACCGGCCTGGACGGAGCGTGGTGACGGGGTGACGGGGTGAAGGACGTCCTGAGGTGAGAGACATCGAGAGGTGTGGATGGATGTTGCATCTCTGTCCCCTGAGAAAGTGGGCTGCTCTTGAAGTTGGGAACAAGTGGCAAAGTAGAGGCCTTATGTCAAGGCTTATGACACTCAGGAGCAGGGGCCGAGAGGTCATTCGAAGCGACTGTGTCGTGATTTATCGATTACTTTTCCAATCTGCCAGGGTGTTGGAGGGTCTTGGCCTTGAAGTCTCTGTTCTCTCAACGCCCAGTGACAACCCTTGGTCGACCGATCAGCCAAGTGGGGGCCGGCCGTTTCACCGTTCAAAAAGAGCCCCTACTCGGGTACCTATGGGATATAGCTTATAGCCTATAGGGTTCTTCGACCTCTGTTGGTAGGCGGAATTCTTCTTGGGTTTTCCTGCGAAGTAATCGCCAGCCCATCCTCCAAGGGGACGGCGTAGGATTGGCAGTGTCACGCTAACCAAACGCAGCAGTTCACAGCCCCAAGAACATGGTCAGGTTGTGAGCTGCCTGGTGTTGAAATGACAGCAAAATTCTCTGCGAAAAAAATACTTAATCACAAACCACGGACAAATCAATCATCCTGGCGTCGCAGTAATATTGCTGTGGTTGACTCTCGGGCATCTGCACTCCTCTCGGAGGACGCCGTGGCTACTGGAGGTGAAGATAGCCTAGCACGGAGGTGCCCAGTAGATAGTCGATAGTGAAGGTTAAGGACACCACCCCACACAAAACAGGCGCTTATCAATGTGTAGGCTTAAGCTCCTGGGGGATAGACAAGCGGCATTCTCCCAAACACCCTCCGTGTTTTCCCCTTACTTGACTTAGAGCGCAAAGGTTGCAAGCTAGGCAGATGAACCCAGCTTTTCACATGGGTAGCGGAGCCGCCAAAGCGCGGCTCGGCACCGGTGCGGACGCCATGCCTATACAGCGGCTGGTGCTGGTGACAAGCCGCAGGACTACAGCAGCACTGACAAGCAGAACTGTTGGCTACAAATCAGAGTGGAGGAAACGCATTCAGTTGTATGCTCATCGCTGAAGGCTCCAGGGACGATCTTGTGAGACAGCTCTGAATTTACTCTCTGTGTTGGAGAGGGTGCAGCCTGGAGACAATGTGAAGATCTAGAGCTGTCGGAACTGGAGAAAGAAGATGGGATCCAAGCAATCCTACGTCGCTTGGATACCCAGTGGCAGTGCGATGAGCGGGTCGAGATGCCGGAGGCCTGTGAGCGGCGTTTCTTTTCAAATTAGTTTGCAAATGTTTGCAAGCAGGGTCAATCGTTGTTGGGCTATTGCAGTGAGTTCAATGCGCGAGTTGAAGAAATACAAACTTGAGTTGCCCCGGAAGTCTTGGGTTGCCTGACGCTACGCCGAGCTGCGTTGACAAGGGAGCAACAAGTTGATGATCCAAACTCACATTGGTACAACATTGACATTGACAGGAGTTGAGCCAGCAGTTGAGTTTGGGCCAGGATCGCAAGGAACTTGATTTGTCTCAGCTGGGTTGCAAGCCCTGCAACAAGTCTTTCATGTGTGGAGGAAATGCTGAAGGACATGCTGAAGGAGTGCCAGGCCCTATGTAATCTTTGGCGCCACTCCCATGCTCCTTGGACGGCCTATCCTGGAGAGACTTCAGGCCGTGGTCAAGTGCCAGATCGAAGTGGGCACTTCCGGACCAACAGCAAGCGCCAGATCGCAGTGGGCACTACCGGACCCAACTGCAAGTGGCAGATCGCAGTGGGCACTACCGGGCCTCAACAGCAAGCGCCAGATCGCAGGGCGGTGCCGGACCTCAACCGCAAGCGCCAGATCGCATGCAGTGGGCGCTGCTGGACCTCAACCGCCAGCTTCCGATTGGAGTGGGCACTGCCGGACCTCAACACAACCAAACAACATACCCACAAACACTCAAGACACAATACACTACCAGCGAAGCACAACCCCTTAACCATTTCTTAACACAAAAGCTGCTCCCCTTCTGAAGGATTGAAAACCTTCTGGATTGACATTGTCACTTGCTTGCAATGCATGCGTGAAGTTGTTCAGATCTGGGATGAGGCTGGCCTCTTTCTGACCAAGTCAGGATATAGGAGGGCATGGAAAAAGGCACGGCAATGCATGTCTGACTGGGAAAATGGTCGAAAGACCAATGAAAGGAATTCATTCCGCATTGTCAACAAATACCTTGCAAAGATGCTCGCTATAACTGCAGATCCCCCTTGTGCTTCAAGGCTGAAGATTTTGCCGCGCACATTTCCATTCTCGCAACGAGTGTGTCAATGGGTGTTAGAGCAACAAACTTCCACCAAAAGCTTGCCCCCAAGTACAAGATTCTTTTGGTTCTTTTGCGCCTCTTGTGCACCAGACCAGGCTTCAGGCTGGAAACCTCCAGTGGCCCTTGAGAAAGAAAAGGGCTTTGCAAAAGGGCTGGTCTGATCTTGGAAAGGGTCAGGGGTTACACTTGAAGTGCCAGAGCCCTTGGAAAAGGATAGCCCTTGCAAAAGGTTCGTCTGGGGAAGTCTTGCAAAAGGGCATTGCGGCATTGCTATGCCGCAGCCCCTTGGCAAAGGAATGCACCTGAAAAAGGATGCGTGCGTCATCCACTGCCACGTGCAGTGGCTTGCACAAGCTATTGGCTTGCAAAAGCTTGCTCTTGCCAGCGGCAATCCAGCCTACTGGGTGGAAGGGATCTGGGGCAGAAAGTTGCTATCAAGATATTAATTCTGATCTTGATTTTGGCCTGGTGGAATGGGGATTGCGCCATCTAATTTGCAATCAATATAGCTTTTCTAATTTTGATTGTAATCAATATCGGATGGTCAGGGTCGAGCACTATAGCGGAACCCAACTGCAAGTGCCAGATCGCAGTGGGCACTGCCGGACCTCCACCGCAAGTGGCAGATCGCAGTGGGCCCTACCGGACCTCACCATGGCATGAAAACAAATGATTGACATGTCATGGTGGGGGATCACTTGAAATACAGTATTTTTTAAAACTGAAGCCACAAAAAAAGTATGTGAGAGAATTCATGCTTTGTAGCAGTCAATCGGTTTCTAGCAAACATCAAAACAGGTCCATATTTCCCTGTTATTATCTTCTTCCATGTTCAAGTACACTTGAGTGACACTTGAGGATGATGCATGCTCGGAAGTGGCTGTCTGACCTTTGCGGTCGCCATGGCAGCTTGGAGTAAAGCCTTGGCTACTCGGAAGAGGTTTGCAAACTGACCTTTAGCGCTGAATGCCAACTGCCCCTCACAGCACGTGTCATAATGTCATGCCAAATGCCTGTTGACTCAAGTCACAATGATGCAACCAGCTCTTTTCCGCTGACCGACATGTGCTGTGCGCGGTTTTCCCGCTTGATGTGTGCTGTGCACGGGTTTCCTGCTTGCCCGTAGAACCAGAGTCGGATTCTGCCAGATGGGTTCTAGGACTATGTATATATGTCCAAGTGCAAAAAGTCTGCAGGGTTTCAGCCCGTTGTTGGACCTCCTGGCAACTCCCAGAAATGGCAAACATAGATGATCAGTTGTGTAACGTACCTCATCAAATCCCTTCAACAACTACTTTCCTGAAAGTAATTTCCCAAGCGCAGGAGGTTCTGGGAGTGCGCCTGAAAACTGGTGCACTAACTTCGTTCAGCAGTTCTGTTTTGCAATCCATACATTTCCAAGTGCAAACAGCCTGTAGGCTTTCAGCCCGCTGTTGGACCTCCTGGCAACTCTCAGAAAATGGCTTACATAGATGATCAGTACCTCATCAAATCCCTTCAACAACTACTTTCCAGAAGGTCATTTCCCAAGTGCAGGAGGTCCTGGGAGTGTACCTCAAGGGTTGTGCACTAATTTCGCTAAGCAGTTCAGTTCTGCGATCCATACATTTCCAAGTGCAAACAGCCTGTAGGCTTTCAGCCCGCTGTTGGACCTCCTGGCAACTCTCAGAAAATGGCTTACATAGATGATCAGTACCTCATCAAATCCCTTCAACAACTACTTTCCAGAAGATCATTTCCCAAGTGCAGGAGGTCCTGGGAGTGCACCTCAAAAGTTGTGCACTAATTTCGCTCGGCAGTTCTAAATGGTCCTGCGTTGAAGACATGTCCAATTGCAAAGAGTCTGTAGGGTTGCAGCTCGCTGGTGGACCTCCTGGCAACTCTCACAAAATGGCTTATATTGACGTTCACTTGTGTGACGTGCGTCATCAACTCCTCTCAACAACTACTTTCCAGATAGTCATTTCCAAAGAGCAGGAGGTCTTGGGAGTGCGCCTGCAAAATGGTGCACCAATTTCGCTCAACAGCTCTAAATAGTTCTGCGTTGAAGATATGTCCAATTGGAAAGAGTCTGTAGGGCTGCAGCCCGCTGTTGGACCTCCTGGCAACTCTCACAAAATGGCTTTATATATATATATATCGTATATATATATATTATATATATAGATGTTCAGTTGTGTGACGTGCGTCATCAAATCCCCTCAGCAACTACTTTCTAGACTGTCATTTCCCAAGCGCAGGAGGTCCTGGGAATGCGCCTTAAAAATAGTGCACCAATTTTGTTCAGCAGTTCTCAATAGTTCTGCGTTTTCCACCCTTGTCGCTTGTTCTTCCAACCTCCGCCTCCGCCTCCCCAAAACATTTGACCAACTTGCCCATGCTGGAAGTGTCGGTAGTCTTGGTACCTGTAAGAGTAGGCTTGCTGCATCACCGGCATAGGGGGGTTCAAGTCCATTGAGATTACAGCGTCGTAGGTGAGCCTCAAGCTGGTCTGCCACGGCCCGGTGCCCAACAGGAACTCAAAGGTGACTTCCTCGTCCAGGTTCACCTCCAGGCTCTCATCAGCCTCCTCCTCCTCATCCTTTTCTTCCGGTTCTTCCACGAAGAATGGTCCCATGATGACTTCTTTGGAAGGCTTGCAGAATTTGGACTTGTAAACAGCCGCCAGGCCCATGCAAGCGCAGGCCGCAGGGATCACAAGGCCCAAGCCTGGCAGCACGCTGTCAAGCTCGCCCATGCTGCACCAGCCACCGACGACCCCCAGGGGCAGGAAGGCCACCGAGTCTTCAGTGCTGAACCCCATGTCACTGCAGTTCATCTCCGCCAACACCTGGAAAAAGCTGCGGCCCAGCAGTACTCGCTTGGCGATCGCCTCCAAGTCCCTGGCGCTTGCTCGGTGATTACAGGCCTCCAAGAGCTTGTCCGAGTTTTGCATCAGCAGGCACACGCCAATCCGCCGCAGATCTCGAAAAGGGTCAC